TGTTAGCTGATTACTGTGCAAGAATTTCTCATTAGTTTCTGTATATCAAGGGTAGGAAACGGTAAAAATAAGCAATAACCTTTTATCAATGATACATTTCAAACATCAGTAACAACCTCAAACTGCTTATCAGCTCATTGATTAGTTTGAAGAGACTTGATTCTTACATACCTATAGCATACACAAATCAATCCCAATGACAATAAAATGGGAGGGTAAGAGAAATTAAAGTTTGAAAATTCTTCAACTTATATGGGGGTGTGTATATATGTGTGTGTTTATTTATAAAAAATGTTTTGTTTTGCAGTACAACAATATTACTACAATCACCGATGACACATTCTGCAAATCTAATAACACACGTTACATCCGCACAAGTATGGATGAGATAAGGATGGAAGGCAATCCGATCCTCTTGGCAAAGCATGTTAATGCTTTTTCCTGCTTGAGAACACTGCCTGTAGGAACATACTACTAGCCACTACTTATGTAATTATACGTGCCAAAACTTAAACATGGTAACAGAAGATTATTCTTTTTCCTCTGTTTACACGTTTATATCCTCTCCCTTACTAATGCCGTTTACCTGCATACCCAGAACCTTTTACTATGTTGAAATGTGGTTCTCCTCTGAAATAACTGTTTCAAAGCAGCCACATCATTTAGTAGTTACAATGTCACCCATGCTTTCAGAAACTTTTCTGTTAATGAAAGTGTAAAAATACATATATGCACACACATATCTTCTCAACTTTTATTTCACCACATATTCTTTACGTGTAGGTAAAATCACACAAGTAACTGCTTGTTCACATTCTTTATCAGTACCCAGAATAATCACTACATTTTACTTTCAAATAAACGCAAAACATGCTTTGAGCAAGCTACAGGAGAAAACTACATCTTAATTCCAATCCCATTTTTTTAATCTGAAATGAAAGTTTTTCAGTTGACCTTCAAAAGCGTATTGGATGAAGTTGCATACAAAAGAAAGTTATGTTTAGAAATAGAACTTCTCAAAGCTTAACTTCATTAAAGCTTCCTTAAAAACTTGGTTCGCAGAAAATGAGAATAATTCCTATTTAGGCTTAGTGTACCAAGCAACATAGCAAGTGGAACTTTTCAAAGATATGTTAATTCTCTTTCTACTATTTTGCTTTCAAAATAATCTGAGTGTGTGTGTGTATATATATGTATTTTATTTTTACACAAGGTATTTTTAATTGAAATATATAAATTTTGCTCAGCTGTACTCACAAGAGTCATTTTTGCAACACCAGCTTCCCATTTTAACACAATGGTCCAAGTACAGCATAATATGACTCCAAGTATCTTTGTTATTAACATGATGTAGACTGAGCCTTGTTCCACTGCTTTTTCTTGACAAGGAAATGTGACAAAATAACTAACAGCAAAGCTGAACTAATGTTTTTACCTGTAAATAAGTAAGATTTCACCTAGATGTCAGTGCAAAGAAACAGAAGTATCCTTGTACAACAATACTTTCGCTCATTAGGGAAAAATCAAATCGGATCTTTAAATTAAAAAAAAAAAGTTGATTCTATCATTAATGTAAAAAATAGTGTTAACTTCAAGAAAATTAAACTAGCATCATTTCACTCAACTACTCTAAACCATGCAGCTTATTAAAAACACAAATTGATGCATGCAGGCCTCAACAGTCAGTTCACCTAAACCTGTACGTTATTGATACAGGACACAATGATTTTAATTAAACAACTTTATATTTCTGACATTTCATTTTCAGTTTCCCCCCTCAAATACCTGACACAGGCATAAACTCTTCAGATAAATGAATGTCAAAAGTGTGCTACTTACTATTACCAGATCAACTTTGTACTAATTTTGAAGCTAGTATAGATTCCTAATTTGTAGAAATAGTTAAGCATCAAATGCATGATGATGTATCACTACATCTAGAATACTGATTTTACAAGATATTTTGTATTAGTTTTGTTTATCTTATTTAGCTAAGCCTTGATTTGTTAGTGCTTGTGCTATGGGGAATTAAGTGCACACTTAATTCTGAACATACTGATGCTCTGCCACTAAGAGTATTGAGAAAAAGTGACTGAAAGTTACTTAGGTAAGTGACTATTGTCAAGCATCAACTGTGGGCTCATCTTTCTGGAAAGAGGATGCAATTATGAAATGCAGGACAAAAATCTTTTTGCCCTGAATCCATTACCCAAGAAAGACATAGCAATCCCCAATATTTTCCATTTTAAGTTATTTGGTGTAACAAGAAACAAATTCCATTGACTTAATACAACTGAGAACAAAACGAAGTCCGACAGTGAGAATACTACTTGGTTTTCATTTTTTGCATGTAAGTCATAAAACTTTGATGTTTCCAGGCTTTTAGCGAAAGGTAAAAAATAACCCCAAAGCATGTAAAAATACATTCCAACTTCAAGTCAAATTTATACTAGGAAAAAATGAAAGCCACCAATTCTCTCATCCCTCTTTTGATAAATGCCTGAGATGGAGAAAACACAGCTAGAAGTGTAAATGTAATAACGCTACATAAGCAGTGGCCTCTGATCTTATTCTCATCACAAATCATTATTACTAAATAAAGCTCTTTCCAGAACTGATAGAATCAGTAAATATCACCAAAACTCTTCCTATGAAAACAATTATATGTGTATACACAAATATATGCACATTTATGTAATATATAAACACATGTAAACATTCTAAGACCTAACCACTACCACATTATTAATTTTACATTAAAATGTTGTATATATTTTTGAAAAAGTACTAAATATCAACAGTAACACTAATTAATGCTCTTAATATTTTGTGAGCAAACCAAAGTAGACAACTGGTACCCGCAATAAATTACCTGATATGTTTTAATTTACTTTCCCCATTCATAGCAAGTTAACTCATCAGAGCATTAAGTGAGATGGACTTCAGTAAGCAGGACTTTTTGCCTTCTATTTGTGTGACCAGTACTAATATCAAAGTGAATGTACACCGTTCTATTTTTTTCCTATCACTCATTTCTGTTCTGTATTTCCAATAAAACTTGAATTTTTTTTCTTGTTTATCAATATCAGCTTCAACAATCTGCTCTTCCAGCACTGCCAACATGCTTCAGTTGTTCAGCCTCATAGCTGACTAAGGGTGCGTTCAGATCAGAAAATTATTTGCAGATGTAAATCCATCTTGCAGACATAATATTTGTTGTGGCAATACAGTAAGACCTGCCATACAAGTAATGCCATACAAAAGACTTGTGGGACACTTCACTCACCCCTTCAAAAAGCTATTTAAAGCACTACCTTGTAGATTTTTTTGGTAGAATAGAGGAGGAGCAGCAGAAGGTAGTCATGGTATGCTCAACTCTTGATTGTGTGTGTGCATGAAGCACATAAGTTGTAGACTAACCTGTTTCAGTAAAAAAACCACAACTGCTAAAGCACAATATCAGGGAGTATATAATGGAGAGCACAAAATGCTTACAGCTGAACATTGGTCTACTCACACCAACCTAAACCTGCCTCTGCTTTCTAGGAAAGCCTGCTTACAGTCAAATCAATGTATATTTTAAATTGCTTTTTGCTTAATCTGAGTTATTCATCCCACCATTACTCTTGTTAACTGTGAAAACTCTTACTACAAAACCACCATTTGTGACAGTCAACTTTTTAGAAATACTGTGCTATCCATCTTTGCTTGAAACTTGTAATTGTCATTCATCTCAAACATTCATTATTATTTGAAGTATTCAATCATTTCTACATCATTGCCTTCTTCTCAAGTACCAAAACTAACAGAAAAGAAAAAATAATCTACCTTTCCTGTTTTTACACTACACTGTGAGAAAACTATTAGAAGCACTGTCTATTTCTACGGAACAGCCTGGGTAATTTTCTTTTAAATAACAAAATAATAGAAAAGCTATAAACGCAGAACCCCACCTCAAATAGTCTTCTCTCCAACACTGTGCACAGTTACCTGCCTATATACTTGAAGCCTAGCAAGCAGGTAGGAAAAAAAAAATACAACAAAGATTACAAACTCATTTTTTAATGTTGTCCAAGTGTGAATATTAACAGGATAAGTCTCTTTACTTGTTTTTATGCAGATGTTAAAAGCATACTTCTAGTCGCTTTCACACAAATTACTACAGAATATTAAGTGACAAATGCACATTCTCCTTAGCAATCTGGTTACTTGAATTATCAGATTTGGTCTTTGAAGCCTTTATTAATTCTCACCTCAGAGAGTCTTCTATTTCTAAATGAAATCATTACTAATGCTAGCAGAAATAAGGCGGCCTAAAAAACTCTTCATAAGTCCATAGTCAATCACATTTGATAAATATTCTCCCAAATTGGTTTGCCTTTCTCAACAGCATCTTTGTCCATGGAAAGAAAAATACCTTTAGAAAGAATATTTGTAATGTTGACAAACTTGTAATATATGTCTTCAGTGAATTTATCTTCACACATCTTTTAGCAATGAATACGTCCCTTCATTGTTTACACTCAACGTCTGAACAAACACTTTTTAAAACTGCTTAAGATACACACAACAATTTAAAAATCATCTCTAGAGCTATCTTTCTGGTTTTTCATTTTTGTACTGATTTTTAAAATGAGAACTATTTACAACAGTTCGCTGAATCACTGTCCCAGAAACCACAGTGACTGCTGTCTGAGGCTGATCTAAGGATCAGAAAGCATCAAGTGAAGTTGAAAAAAAACAATCAAAAAACCCACAGCACAAAGCCATAAAGCCCTTGGTGCCCTGCCTTCTCTATGGAGGGATTCAAGAAAATTCCTTATAAAACAAGCAGCAGGATTAGACAACATCAGTTTATTACTCAGCTGAGGACAGGATTATTTTATAACATTATCAGAAATTAGTACTTTTTTTTTTTAATCCGGTTGATTAATTGATAATAGAAATTGATTAATCTAGCACAGAACTCAAAGGCCTAAAAGATTCAAAAAATAGGAAACAAAGCATGTCCCACTTCATACTACAGCTGAAAAGCAAAGATGGTGTTGAGTTTAATGACAGTAAATACTTGAGCTAAATAAAGCTGAACTAAAAAACTACACACAATTAAGCAGCTAAACATCTTCCTCTAACATTAATCACAATATAAGATGTTGTCTGAAAGACTGCAGTATTTTTACTCCAAGAAATAGTTATGTTACAACCAGTACCTTTACACAAAGCAAACAAGCCAAATAATGGTAACTTAAAACTAAGTTCAAATACTATGTGCCAGTTAAGAGTGAGGAACAGTTTATTTCCCACTCAAGTACAACATTTCAGAACTGGAATTGTTGTCGCCCAAACGCATGCTGCCACATTTTCAAGAGACAGATCCAGTCCTTCAGAACTAACATTGAAATGCCAAAGACTACAAATGTTATTTTCTTTTGATTTCTTCTTTTGCCATTTTTGTTGTTCAAAATGAAATATAATACCAATGAAAAACTGTCTTACTCCCCCCACAGGAAGGCACAGATATTCTTATTTTCCCCCATGTATGAGGAACACAGCAATAGCATGATAAAAATCAAGACAAATACCAAGCAAGGGCATTACCCCTTGAACACAACACAAAAATCTTAGGCTGATATTCTCTTCTCCACAACGTACAAAATTAAGATTCACATACTCCACTACAGTGCTAATTTCACCTCCATTGCCCTGTCTTAATGAACTACTTAAAGAACTTAAAGTACTGATATATAAAGGCTTGATAGACATTACCTTGAAATGCAGGAAGGTGCGTCTGCGATGTTCATACCACTCAGCATAAGATGAAAGGCTTCTGAAAAACGTTAAAAGATTTCCATGTTCTTCAGTGCTACAAAAGAAAAATATATGGTTTAATCTAAACAGTACTAGTCAGACGTACCAATTCTATAGCCTAAAATATGTACTTTTTCCCTTAAAGAATTCATGATTAGTATGGTTCAAATTTGAAGCCAGAAATCACAAAAAAATTATGACAAGAAAAAAAAGCTGTAGTGTAGACACTGAAAAAAATTTGAAGAATTCGTTTATAAACCAGTGTTTTCAACTCCTCAGGAAGGTAAGCAGCAATAAAGTTAGTCTTATATGTAAAATGTGATAACTTGACAAAGTAGTCGCCTGTAAAATCTTAGTTTGACTTTATGCTTGTTCATCTAATACTCTTGTTTTCTAAATAAATTCCAAGATGTTGCACAGTAAAACTTTAACCTACAAAACTGCTAAGATTTACCAAATTGCATCACTAAGCTTTGAATATTCCTGAGATTTGTCCTATTCAACTAAATCTTTGCATGACACATTATCTGCCTCTGCCCACATGACATCCAGCTTTTCAAGATTAACCTTGAAACTTCAGTAAGCAAGAAGGTCTGTTCATTAGATCATACATCACATCTAAACCAAAACTTTTAATGCACAGTTAAATCTTGATTTATCTGCTATTAAGGAAGATAGTGATATTCTCAATAATTAGGGAGTGAGGCAGGATGGGGGAAGACAGATGCTGATAAATCTGTAACTGAGAAGTGGAGTGCAGAGACCTTAGAGCCAAGCCCACTGTAAGCAGAAATTAATAGGCCCGGATGGAGCTGAGCCGATTCTTGCAGAATGCCCCTCGGTATTTCTGCAGTTTTGGGCTCCCTCATGATTTAGCAGTTTAGCTACACATGGAAAGATTATGGCTTCATTCATACAAATGACCCTACACTTGCACTAATAAATTGTCTGGAATCTTATGTCCTGCAAAGAGCAGGGCAGAGACACCTTTGCTGGACTTGCACTTGGCCAGTCCGGATTTGGTAGAGCTTGCAGCCTGTATCATGAGACTAACATATTGGTGCTATTCTGGCAAGGAAACAATTCAATTGCAATGTTATTGCAAATACTAGTTTTTCATCCATAGTGCCTCTGAAAACAGAAAGGTCAGCAGTAGTCATTTTAATTTCTGGCATTTCTGAGGAATTTTCAAAGCCTAAGAGAAATAAAGAAAAGTTCCTATTGTTTTGTCTTTGCCAGTTTCGGAGTAATTGAACAGCATCAAGTGAAAATGTTTACGTACAATGATTCCATGCTTAGTATAATAAGATTTTTCTATTTCCACTGACAATAGTTAACAGAGGCAACAATACACAGTGCCAGCTAAACCTAAGAGATTACACTTCCAGGACTTTGGTGCTAAAGTCAAGTTAAAAATACAAGCAACAGGTAGAAGAAATACAACCCGATTTTGCACGAAGAGCATAAGGAAGTTTATTTCCTACATGTACTTGTTTCACACACACAAAAGTTAAATCATTTAAGCTTCAATATAATTTCAAAATTAAATATTCACAGCATCTAAAGAATCAAACAGAAGCTTCCACTCCCAAAGAAACAACAAACATTTTGAAAAATATATATGAAGTTACTGCTGAAGTAATTTCCAAAGAAGTTGCAAACACTGCATAAAGCACAGAATCAAGCAAAGCGACACGGCTGACTAATTATCCATTCTTGCAGATGGCAAAAAATACACACAGTTTTCAAAATAGAAGCTGCTCTTGATATGCAGAGATGATTATTCCTATTGAACAGGATAGCAAAACATCAAACTGACACTGACAAATAACACACCGCACTAACTTGGACTGAGAGATATCACTGTTATTTTTCACCAGTCTACAAGGTAGTAATGATTTTGCATGTAAGAGAAGTTGCAGTGCATCAAACACTGGGGCTGGTACATTCCTTTATGTCACAAAATCTTATTTACAAAAGAAATTTGCTAGCAAAAATAAGTGATATGCTTTCTTACTTCAGTAACTGGCACTAAAGTTACTTTCTTTCATTACACATTTACTGTTTTGTCTTCCTAGCAAAACTGTGTTAGTTTGTACATCAACTATGATGTATGCCAGTAAAACATTTTTAGTAGAAGTACACCATTACATTCACTCTGAGACAGCGCAGGAAGGCCGGCAACAATAGAAGAAAGGAAACCAAGGTACTGGAAATCAGTAATGTGCAAAAATCTGCCTGAAACAGTTAGGATTAGAACCATTTGAATGAAGAGAACTATTCACTTAAGATAGGTGCCATCACAGTAGAGAGTTTGTAGAAATCGGGAACTGAGCAGACCTTACCCTCTTTATTGTTAACAACACAGGGATGGCAACCATTAAAGCTTATATACAGCTTCTCAGCTCTAATCAGAAGAGGAAATACAGTCCATCCACTGTTGTGAGGGATAGCTGTATTAAAGACAGATTAGAGAAAATAGGTGGGGAGCTGGTTGGCGGGGGGGGAAGAGTTTGTCTCGGAGGGGTTTCTTTTTAAGAAAAACACAGCAGTAAAAAATATTTATTCTTCAAATTTCTAGTAATGTAAGGATCAGGCTAGAGAAAGGAAAGGAGACAATATAAGATGACAGAAACTGCCAAACAGCCAACCATCCACCCAGTGTTGTCAGGGGGAGGAAGGAAAAACATTCATAAAGGGTGTACAGTTTTTACTAAAGAAATGTGGCAAGAATGCAAAGAATGCAAAATTCCACAAAAGCTAAGTGTCAGAATACCTGAAGCAACATGATTCTTTAATCATAAGGGTGAACAGCTTCATGTCATTGTTGATATGAAGCCACAGTCAAATCAAACAGACTATTAGCCATTGTCAAAACGTACCTGGCAAGCACAGCTTTGAAAATACAAAGATTTTTTTCAATTACTAAGACAGGATTTTACACATTTACAAAACCTGACTGAGGATGACACCTGACTTACATTTGGGAATATTTCAGAAAGTTACAGATGATCTAAGTTCTACATGTAAATTTTACTTTAAACATCCTTTCTGTTTGAGATTAGCTATTCTTTTTGGATTTTCAGAACAGCTGAGGGCAGAAAATTGAGGCTATGAACAGAATGGTTGCAACAGTGTATTACCAAGTCACTTCAGCCATTCAAGGGAGAACTGTGCCTCAGATCCAGCTCTATTTAACAGACAGAAACGGCAACCCTTAACGTGTTACACAAACAAAGAAAAATAAATACATGAAGTTCATTCAGATATTGAAAATGTAAAAGAAAAGTCAAACAAGTTTTATCCTAGCCTGGAAAGAACAGCATCATTAAAGGAAGTTACCACAATAGTCACAGCTGCCAACAAAATCAGGCCAAGATGAAAAAAATGCTGGCAGCACATGCAAAATTGAGTCCCTGGAAGGACGTAGACACATACTGATTTACAATAGCTGACTAGTTCTATGTTCTGGACAGCTTTTTTAACCACAACTCGTAATTGTACATATAAAAATTTATACATACTATATTAAAAATCAAGACGTAGTAATGACTGCCCACATGTCACTATCTAGTGAACATGATTCTACACAAACTACAATATGCTTTGTAAATCTACATACATGGAAGAGGGCAACACAAAACTTTGTTACAAAACTACACACTTAAAATTATTTTTTTTTAAATTGGCAATTTTGATGAGTATCCATTTTTATGTAATTTAAAAGACTATCACAAACCTTGTGACCTTGTTTTTACATTATGTCTTTAGTTTGTTTTGGTTTTTTTTTTCCTCTCAGATTCATCTTTAGGCAATAAAGCAGATGAAAAATTTCAAAGCTAGATCACCAAGCAGAGAGAGATAGTTTTGGTTAACAAGTTCAAAGAACCAGTTTCAAATGTAAAAGTTAGTCTACGAATTATACCTGAGTATATACTTCTCTCATGTACAGATATAGCACTGACTAAATTTAAGATAGAAAACTAGATTTAGTGTTTAGAAAGGGGGAAAGTCGGTGTTGGCATGAACAGACATATGTAATATACATGTTTTTTTGTATTGGCGAGGGAGAAAGAGACTGTATAAGAGCACCATTTCAGTTAACTGTCTCATAGCACTTAAACTACCCATAAACAATAATTCCTAATTAGCCTAAGTTAACCTAATTCCTAATGCAGAAGCCAACTACAACAAACGCTAAAATACCAAGAAAGCTTGGTATAAAATAACAAGGTACTAAGAGAGTGCATGTTAAAATTTAAGCCTCTTTTTTTTGGAAAGAATTTAGCATTACAAAATGTCACCAGATTTTAAAAAAAAAAAAAAAATCCACTAGGAGCAGAAAACACCCACCTCCAAAGCCAACATCCATGTAACAGAGAAGTCATCCAAAACCAGCAAAAACCATATTCAGGCAGAGAGTAACTATGTGTCAGGTTAAAATCACACGCCCTTCATCCAAACACCATTTCACTTTTACAAAATAACATCAACAAAACACAAAAGAAACTTAACTATTGTAAAAGTATTTAAGGCTCCTTTAATATGCTCCTTCAGTTATTTTAAGAGAAGAAACCTATTTTAACTCCCTGCAGTATGCAAGGCTTCTTGCATTAGCATATAAAACCAAAGAATGACGCTTAGAGCTGTGGGAAAAATTCATGCCTCCCCTCACTTCTGAAATACCTAGCCCATGCAGTGTTGTAATATAATGCAGACACTTCATGAATCCTTCACTCTGACTTATAAATTTTAATTAGTTAGTAAAACGTAGGAGCAGTTTTCAAACTGTCTAAAAACTACTCCTATTTGATTAAGCAACCTATGCAATAGTTAACTAACCCAACAATTAATGGGATATCACGCAAAGAAAAGGGAAAAAAAAGACTGGCAACAAGATTTTTCATAGATATTCTGGTCCTCAACACTGAAAGTATAACACAAGTGATTAACTGGTGCAAAGGGGACTCAAGTAAAATCCAGAAATAGAAGGCTAAATACCGTGATTCCATTTGCATACATATTTTATTGTCACAACATATTTAAGGAATGGTACACATTCTTTAAAAACAGGTATTACATATTGCAGCAGTACCTGGTTGAAAATAAAGTGCTGAATTTTGCTTCTTTTAAAAAGATGTTGCTCAAGTGTTCTAGCATTCCTCTGTTTTCTTCCAAAGCAGGATGGGCTTGGGAATTACAACTGAATGCCAAGTTTTTAACTCTGGTGCTATTAAAGACGCTTTTCTCTTATACATTATGAAAAGTGAAGCCAAAAAATTAGAAAGCTGAGGAGGAAAAAATCCAGGCCAGTAGAGAAAATGGAACAAAGCTAGACAATGGATTTGGCAAGACTGGGCCAAGGAGGCAAAAGAAGGAAACAGAAACTGGTAGGGAGGCTGAAAAGAACAAACAATACAGAAGGAGACCAGATTTAGCTGGTCAAAAATGGAGGGAAAGGGAGGGAAGAGGTAGGAATCAAGATTCTAAGAGTAGTTGGTGGACTGAAGAATAAAGGGCTAGTTGGGAAAAGCCTGAAAACTAGACATGAAAAGAGGAGATTAGGACTCAGAGCAATTAACGAGAACTAGCTTAACAAGGGGATTGAGAAAACAAGTCACGAGGGGAGATCACATAATCAGATTAAGCCAATCTAACAGTGGATTGCTGTCAAAACAGACATTGCCAACATCAGCCCCTACTGCCTTAGACCAGCAACAAACACTGTGACATTGCAGGACAAGTCAAATAGAAAAAATGAAATTTGAAGGGGTTGTGGGGGGGCAAGGTTGGGTGTGTGTGTCCCCCCCCCGATTTCTTTTTTCAACCAAATGACTACGTTGAACCTATTTACCATGTGGCTTCAAGACATTATACGCTGACACAAGGACAACAGATGGTACATGCAAATAGAGGCTAAGGAGAAAGAACTGCTTGCTTTATTGACAGCAAAGTCTTAATTCATCTTACATCATTCATGAAAACATATGTTTACTTATGAATACTGGTGTAATGTTGAAAAGGACCAGGGCAGCGAAGAGACAGGGACAAGACAGCAGTGCTGAAGCCAGGATGAAATAAAGTCTGCCACTACTTCAACGCATTCCTTTCCAGTATGACTATTAAGTTCCAAAACACTTCTGCTGTCAGAAAATACTCATGAAAAAAACAGGGTAATTTCCTCTTCTAAATCCCGCTTCTTGAGAGCGGTCAACTACTATTCTCAGTTATACTACTAGCTTTAGTAGACTTGTATGGAAATTCCTAAGCCTCTAAATGAAAAAATCAGCTCTCAGTACAGATTAATGAAGCCTGAGGTAACTCAATAGACCTTTCTTTTCACCCATCCATTTGCCTTCCCTCTCCAAGTCTAAAAAATAATATAAAACAAAAGAAATCACCTAAAGACCAGGATTAAGTCAACTGCCCAATAATATTTAATAAGTAATAGATTTGTTCTCAGAATAGTTTGCTAGCAGATTTCACAGTGGAATACCGCAGACAAATAATTTGATCATTATTCATCCTGTGTACCACAAGAAGTTGATGTCCTCCAGGAAATAATAAAAAAGTAGCATTCAGTCATATGCTTAAGTTTTAATATGTATGTTTTCTTAAGTCATTGCACAAATATACTATTCCAGGTTTTTAAACTGTGTTCTATTGTTTTTAAAATATCAGTGAAAGAAATCCTGATGCAAAGAAGAGAAAAGGAATGGTGAGCAGAGAATTAGAAACAGGCAAGTCCTGGAGAAGGGTTCTGGATGTACGCTTTAGCCATTACTTACCCACATTGCACATCTGCAACTCACATACACATCCGAGTAGCAGCTAACATGTTGATTACATAAATTAAAAAGGAATAGCTGAGGTTACCTTGTTACATCTTTCTCTGAACCAAACAATTTCAAACAGCTAAAACATTATAATCCAAAAACTGTTTCTGTTCTACATTAATTCGTAATGGTCCTTTCAGGCCTTGAAAATTATATGCATTTCATCTTCTCTCCAGAAGGATACAGACAAGGGATTGGAAGTGTATAGGTTGGGCTAACAGTACATTACCAAACAAAGAAACCCACTGTCAGCAATTTACATGAAAACTCAGTATTGCATTTAGTATCAGATATCCCGTACAACCTTCCTTTAAAAATTCCGCCTTACCTTGACACAAACTTGCTCACGTCTGAATCTTCTCCAGATTCCATTATAATGCTGAGATCAGTAATAACAGCTGACACACTCTCTTTGTTCTAGATTGGAGAATTAACAACGCAATGTTTTAGAAATGTCTCTAGCGAGGAGCAAAAAATGTATCTATCTGCATATAAAACAGACAAAAATATATGCAAATGCTGCTAAGCACTATAATCCTTAAAATTGCATTTTTTAAAGTACAGCTTATGTGTGTGGACATTTCATTTCCTTTCAACAGTATCAGTATTACCCGTACAACAAGGCTTCTGGAATAATACCTGAACTAGTCAGCATAGAGAATATATATGTATAAAGGAAGACTTATAAATAAGAGGTTCATCTACTTCCTTTCATGTCACTTCCACCTCTTTAAGATTCTTGGCATTTTCCAGCACAACCTCTAGCTGCCACATATACCAGAAAACTCAAATCTAAGTTTGAGTTTGAAAGTCATAATGATGCTACCCTAGTTAAAAAAAAAAAAAAAAAATATTTTTCCTGTTAGTTTTTATTTTTTCATTTTACAGCCTGTAGTTTTGCCTCAAATTCTTGTCCCTTTTTACAATAACTGTTACTCAGGGATATGTGCATGATAATAAAAATAAAATGTTTCCAAATTAAAATGTCTAATAACCTATTAAATAAAATGATAAAGAAGCTCATATCGTAGAAATGAAGCCACAAAAGAACTTAATTCTTTCTTCTACACATTCTTGAACACACCAGAGTAATACGTTAGGTAACAATGAATGAAAAAGCCTAAAATCATAGCTTGAAGACCATAGCAAATGCTTCAACTTCATACTGGAGACTTTGTATTTATTTTTCTTACATCCAGTCACTACAAGCAAATGGGAATGGCAACACAGAGGAAACTAAACAGACAAGCTGGAGTCAAATGCAAACACACCACAGCAATCCCTAGTACTGGTTGGACAGAAGTACTGCTAACGCTGCCATCAGTAAAGATGGAAAAAGCAAACCAACACACTACAAAGCTTAGTGGATTGAGTAAGTAACATCAGGAAAAAATATTTTAAATTTAGAGCAAAAGGTTCAACATGTGCATGGAGTTGTAGAGAAGCTGCTAGTAGTCACAAGCTAACACACTACCTTCTAAAGAAACTGGTTTTCCAATAAGTCTGTTACTAACATATGCCAAGACGCCATCTTGGGGTCAAATAAAAAGATTTAAAAGGAAAGCTCTTCAGAAGAAAGCGACTTTTATTTGAATTATTGCTTTCTCAGGGGATTTAGAATTGTTTTGGCAGATTTTCAAGCTAATTGTACATGTCCTCTCCTAATACCTAAGGACAGTAAGAGGGGAAAATAAATAAATCAAACAATGCTTTTGCATTAACCTGTTTTCTTCATCCACATTTTGACCTTTGTGAGCATCCACCTACACACAACAGTGAACAGACAGGAGCTTCTTTGCTTGCACTCAAAAGCTGGCAAAACACTAGTCAGCTTGGGAATATAAACCATACGCTAGTCTGACACTGCCAAAACTAAAGAACCAACTAAGATGCAGAATATGTCAGGCAGTGAGTGACCAATACCACAGTAATATAGACATAATCTCAATCAGTCAAAGCTAGTCAGAGTGAACTCAGATCTGCCTACCCCTCTTTGTACAATTGTATCCTGGAATACAGCCTTTAACATGAATGACATTTAACATTTTGTTTAAGATCAAATTAAAGATAATTACAAGAACAATTTGTTACTGTGTATTAACAGGTTTGATTTAAGGTACTATAGAGCTAACTGCATTGTAACTTAACTACTAGATTAAACAGCTAGAGTTAACAGTGTGAAAAAAAATTATCTTCTGCTGCATAGTAATGTATTTGTTACCTACTAAGCATTTCCCCAAAACAGCTGTTGTCTTTTCTCTCAAGATGGGTGAAACTAGTTGCAACCTTACACTATCTTGCCCATGCTGATCTCAGTACAAGTTATTTTGAATACAACCATTAATGCCGTATCTTAGAAAACAGGCTTCTCCATTTTTATGCGCAAGAAGCCGGAGGCATAAAAAAGCTAAAGCTAAGTTTCCAGGTCTTAGTCTGGCCTGAAGTCACAACTTGCCCGAGAGCTATGGAGGCAGACCCCTGCATCCACAGAGGACCTACTGACTTCACGGCAGGATGACCTGCACAGTATACTAAGTCTGTGGCAAAACCGAGATAACATGCCGCTACTATTACACCACAGAAACAGCCCACTAGAACTAGGCAAAATGTCTGAATGGAATTGTTAACAATCCAGTCATGAGATATGCATTTTCATTATAAAGACATGGAAGAGACTAATTTTTCAATCATATAAATTACAAAACTGTGTATCTTAAAAATACAATCCTTAAGCTTGAATTTTTGAACGACTAAATTCTCCCAAAATCTATTTGAACAGTTCTAACAAAATTCAAATACAGAACTGTACACAATGGTTGTATTTTACAACTCTAACCAAACCATTACATTATGATTTGTACAACAGCTAAAACACATTAACATCTAAGTAAATGCAAAACTTTTAATAACATTCAAGTTCATATACAATCACAAAAACTGAGTAAAGGAACAGAAATTAGTCTGTGTTTGAAACAGTAAGTGTACTTCAGTCATAGGCTTGCCAAGCTGGTGAAGAGGGCTTTAAACTAGAGATGCCGGGGAAAGAGAACCTCAATCCATCCCACCCTACCAGTTTCATGCCAGGGCCAGCACTAGATGCCCAGAGCCTGGAGAAGGATCACAGGTCAGCAGGAGAGCGCCTGAAGAGCAGCACAAAGGAACTCCAGCCAGTAAGACAGCTTCATCGGGGGCCCAACTTAAATGTCTCTATGCAAACGCACGTAGCATGGGGAGTAAACAAGAGGAGTTAGAGACGTGCGCACGCCTGCAGGGCTACGACCTTACTGACATCACAGAGGGATGGTGAGATGGCTCCTATGACTGGAGTGTCAGGATGGAGGGATACAGGCTCTTTAGGAAGGACAGGCAGGGGAGACGAGGAAGGGGTGTCGCCCTCTATGTCAATGACCAGCTGGAGCGCATGGAGCTCTGCCTGGGGACGGATGAGGAGCTGACCCAGAGCTTGTGGGTCAGGATCAAAGGGAAGGCAGGGACAGGTGACATTAC